CCCTTTTTTTTGGAATTTCAATTAAGAAACACACATCTTATAAACAAATTTTTAAAAAAAAATACAAACACATGTTTTGGAAATTAACCCCTTGCAGTAAAGTGAAACATCCACATAATCATTGTTTCATGCAATATTGTATTTGAGACTAAAGCTAAAGAATGAAACTAAACATCTCTAAAAAGGCACATTATAAAAATTTAAAATAAATTAATATAAGATCAAATTATACTGGAAGGGGTCAAGTTGAAAAGTATTCAATTAATATATACAAATATATATACCAAGAATTTTGTTTGCACTAAAAATTAAGATAACTTGTTAGTTGCTTTAAAGTATGTTGTTAGTTGATTTTCTAGATATACATAATATAATTATGCTGAAAATATTTCGTCTGCTTCTGAGTACACAATCATACACTTTAAAAATAAAAAAGAATACAATGTGTATATTCTGTATGAGAAATATTCTATTTAGTGGATATTATTTCATATACAAAAGTATAGAATAATTTTTAAAACTTACAAGCATCATAAACAAAAAAACAAATCTTAACTCAGATATCTTAAGAATTATCATATCTAAATGTAGTTACGGGTAACAGCCTGAAATAGTCTGATAGCCAAATTCAGCAAAAACAATTGTTTTCCCATCGATTTAACATGGAGTGTATTAACAAGGTATCTTTTCTGCTTACAATCTGCAAATTAAATTTATGAGCTCATTTTTCATAGCAAGGTATCTATTATAGGCAAAATTTGATTTAAATATCAAAATATTTTATGAATAAATTAACATTTAAAATCTGTTAAAGCTATACTTAGCGCTTTTATCAAGTTGCCAATGTTATTACATACTAAATAAACAATACTTTTGCTAAAAGGTTAATTTTCTCATTCAAAAGTTAAATTTTGCATATGAATTAATAAGAAAGGATAAATTTTTATTCAATTAATCAATAATTTATACTAGTTACAAGTACTTACATGCCTTTTGGTTAAAAAATTAATTTAAAAAAAATTTATTTCATCGCAATGCAGCTGAAATAATAATTATGACATTAAGTGAGAAAAACATGATTTGAGGGACGATTGATTCATTAAGCATGATAACAGAGTCAAAAAACTCTTTTTCCATCTTACTTTGGAACTTGTATCCGTAACTCTTTGTAGATATAAGAAGCCCAAGATATCCCTAAAGCAAACAAACAAAAAAGTATAACCCAAGGTGTTACAAATCTAGAATATTCAGTATCTTATATAAGTCAAGGTACATTTAGGAAAGATTGCACTGAAAATAAAAAGTGCATACTTCTTGGAAGACCAAAAACTTGAATAAACCAACACACAAAATTTCACAAACATTCTACAAAAAATGCTAAGCATTTAAACAGCAAACAAAATTATATCAAATTTAAAAAAAATAATCTTAACACACAATAAGTGTAATATTTAAATTTACAAAAAACTTGAAATAAGCACAGGATGAATTTCTTAGAAATTAATTCACTTTTAACACAGCAAACAGAACATTTAATTATATGGAAGGAAAAAAAAGTGGCTAGCTAGAATTATTAGCAACACGGAATGTACATTCATTAAATGTCAACTTTATGGCATAAAAAATTATATACAACCACATGAAGACCAAATTCAAATACACACCAAAAATACTTGATTTAATTTTTATACCTTTTAAGGCAAATTTAAGAAAAAATTGTTCCTTTAAAGAGACTGGGGGGTTAAAACGACAAGCCTTTCAGCAAGTTTACAGCATTTTATTAAAAAAGAATTTAATTGAAAAAATTTGAGCTATATTTTGATCAAAAATAGTTTAGATATAATAATAAAACTAATGAAAGCCACAACATAAAATGATTGTTTAAATATATTAAAATTAAAACATGCAAAAAGCTAAAAAGAACATTGAAAAAATTTTTTTAAAAAAAAGTTTTGTCATATAAAAATACTACATCTTTAGATTTATTTCATGCAAATTTTTATACAAGTTGATTTAATAAAACTTCATAAAAATATACGTAGTTTTCACATATAAAACTTCAACATTAGATAGTACTATGAATTTTCACAAGTTGAGTTGAAAAACATAGTAAGGCAGTGCACAGCCAAATGAATGTTCAATTGTTTTAATAGAGACTATTAAATTAGATATTGTTAATTAGGATAGTGTCCAATCACTTTAATAGAGAATATTAAAACAGTTATCGATAAAAAAACTGTTAAACAATCATCAACAGTTATTGATACTTTTAAAACAAAGTTTCCAAATCACCATATAAATCAATGCTTATTTCACGCACTAATAAATCTGTGAATAATTTTTGTACAAATACACATACGATTGTTGATATACTTCAAAAAAGAAGTAGCTTCATTTTTTATATTTTTAACACTTACTACATATTAAGAAAGGTGCAATGAAGGATGAATGAAAGATTTAAATTTTTAAACATTCTAACCTCATCACTAGAGAAATTGGTAATAGGGAATAACAGGTAATATATGTAAGACAGGGCGTTGACTGGAGCTTTCAAATTGTACAAGGAATAGGTAGTACTTGCTCTAAGTATTTTAAATAAGTAAAGCAATTGCCAAATGCTGTTTTTTGAATAGCAATGAAATGTCAATAGTTGTGGTCTGAGAGTACAAATCTGTCCCAAGAAAAGATTTCGCATGAATTTAACAGGGTTGTCACTCAAAAATGGGGAAAAAATTCCCTGTGTTTTCCCTGAACATATTATTCACAATGTATTAAGAGGAAAAACAAAATCACTGTACTCTTGTATGAGCTGTATTGGGCTAGTTATAATTGCTGAAAAAAACTTAAGAGAAAAAAGGAACAGCTGAACATACTTAAAAGAAATAATGTTATCGTAAATGAACTAGTTTAATATAGCTGAAATATTCTTAAATATCCCATAGATTGCACTTTGAGAGATCAAAAATACGAAACAGAATTCCTTGTATTTTCCCAGTTTCAAAAGAAAAACTGAAAAATTCTCAGCATTTTTTCTGTTATTTTAGGGATTTTTAAAATCCCTGTATTTTCCAGGTTTTCCCTATAGAGTGGCAACCCTGTTTAAACAAAATGGGGAAAAAGTGAGAGTGATATTTAATCCCTCAATCTATAGCCTAAAAAACAAAAATGAAAAAAAAAAAACTTCTTTCTTTGCACCAAAACTAACAATTAAAATGTTACATCAATGATGATTCAATTGATGAAATTCAGACACATAATTTCTACTTTATATGTACCTAAGTTTAGTTCCTATTTTGGCACTTGTGGCAACATTTTTAACATTTTCATAACATTAACACGCTTTGGGGAGGAATTTATTTAGAAATAAGGAAAGGAAAAATATAATAAACTAAAATAAATAGCTGCATCTACTACAGTCAGGTACATATTCAAATATTATTGAGATTTTATCATTAACAAAAAAATAAACACTTTAAAAATAAAATAATTATTGCAAATTAGATTCATTAACTGTAAGTTTTATCTAAGTAAGCATTAATGACTTTTCTTTAGTAGCATACTTAGAAAACTTTTAATGATATCACAATCTCATTTTGTTTTAAATAGACAGCACCAAATTCAAAACCTTTCATTTAAAAAAAGGATCTGTAACCAGATTTAGAAAAAATTATCTAGTACGGGTACAAACCACACAAATATATAGTTACGGAAAAGTGATTTTTCTTAATTTAAAAAATAGAATATAGAAAGAAGAGCTAAGTGTGTCAGGAATTTCAAAAAAAAAAATTGATAGCATTTTTCCCAATTTAGAAAAACTGTGATTCAAAAATTGTCTTTAAAGAATATACGATTGTTATCGCGAAATTTTGCAGGGCAAAATTAGGTAACAATTCTAAAACAAGGTTTAAAAAAATGCAAACACTTAATTTTTTTCTCTCCAAAAATATAAAAATTGAACAATTTCATGGAATTACAATAAAATACATTAAAGTTATTCATGACTTTTGAAGTTCAATTATTTAATTATTCAACTCATAGTAAAATGGAATGAAAAATATTAAGTACGTAGATTTACACGTAAAATTTTGAATTTTTTTTAAAAACTTAAAAGCTCTCAAGCTAACAAAAGCTATTTTTTGGAGAAATTAAGAAAATCACTTCCGACCGACTGAAAAGGTTTCAAACAGTACATCAAAACAGTTAATAAATAAAAAAATATATACACACACATTTAATAAGACTAACGCATCACGAAAAAATGCAATAAATACAAAAAAAGAGTTAGTTGTTCATAAAATATTTTCAACAATGATATCTTGATTTATAAACCATTAAAAATGTGATATAATTTAATTAAAATTATTATTTTAAATGAAGCAGCATGCAAGATATCAGATAAAACTTTAACAGGCAGAACATAATTTTTATGAATGAAAAAAAAATTAGTTAGAAATTGGCTTCATATCTTTATGTACCTCTTTCTTTACAATTGAACCATCTCTCAAATTGTTTGGACTAACATCTGGGCCTACCTGTCATGTTACCACCTATAAGGTGAAATTAGAAATTTTTGCAACTGACCAGTTGAATCATTTTTAACAGTGACCATTTTTTAAAATATATGACTCTGTTTTTCAAATATTAAAATGATTATAAAAATTGTTGATTTAAATAATGCCATATCTAAATATGAACAATTTTTCTTATTAATCATTTAGCAAAACATAGTGAAAATTGTAAAGTTCATTTAAAAATATATATATATGCAGAAACTAGTGCAAAATAAAGAAATTTTTAGAATATTAAAAAATATGCAAAACTGCAAATTGATTAAAAAATTAATAAAAATAAAATTTACATGAAGTGCATTTTCAACAAAAAGAAAAAGTTGCAATAAGATGATGTTTGTCAAAAAAATTTTTTATCGCTATTTGTTACCTATGGCAGGTGGCCACCATTAATTTCGCACTTCATTATTCCCCTCTTTTTTTAAGAAATACTTCGATATTAACTAAATATTTTCTGGTCTTAATTATATCAACAGCTAAAACTAACTAAAACAGCAAAGATTTTAAGCAGTTGACTTATTCGTAAAATTCCAACTTTTGAAAAATCACAGAGAAAAACAACTTTGTTTAACTTTAACTATAAATTAAAATCTTTTAGAATTAAAATAGTTTTACAAAACAAGTGTGCCAAATGTGAAAACGTCCCAATTACTTTTTATTTCATTAAAAATAATTGAACACTTACAAAATTGTAACAATCACTTACATTTTGTAAAATTTCCATTAAAAAAAAACATATAAAGGAATTTGAAATTATTCATTATAGGCTTCTATTTCTCCATTTTACAAGGTAGTAGAAATTAATAACGAAACTAATCTTATTTTTTGATATGCGATTCAAATAGGAATAATAATTGCTAAGATATTAGTTGAAAATTATAAAAGACGGAAAAACCAACTATATACAAGCATTCAAGGGGGAAACAGTTGCACAAGATAATGGGAGAGACTATATTAAGAAACAATTAAAATATTATTTATAGAAATTGTATATAGAAAAATTGGACGATTCTTCAGATATCAAGATAAATAACTAATTAACAGAATAACTAAGTAATCATAAGCCAAATTAACAGACATAAATACTTCTCACAAAGTAAATGAATGAGAAATATTAAATTTTTATTATTAAATAAACATTCTACAATGTTTTTTTTTTTTTTTTTTAAACTGATCAGGTTATTTAAAATATTAAAAACAATTTAATTTAATTATTCTATTACTAAAAGAATTCTTCTGCAATGTTAAGATAAACACAAATAATTAGCAATGCAAATTAATAATTTTAAAAAATCAAAAGAATTCAAAAGAAATTCTAAATAATTTATTAAATAAGGAATTCAAAATAATTTAAATTACCTTACAAAATTTTTTAAATAGTCAGTTAACGTAAATAAAGCAATTAAAAATAATTATTCATTGAATTCAAAAAAGGGGTAAAAAAGTAAATATTGAAAATAATTTTAAACTTAAATGATATATGAACATAAAACGCTAAAAACAAGTTTAAATTATATCACATTTTGAACTTCATAAATCAAGAGTTTTAATTTAAAAGACTGAGTGCAACAGTCAGATGATGTTAACAATTACAAACATGTTTTTGTGCAGTACAAGTAAGAATGTTTACACCGGTGACAATCAGAAAGGAGTCCAACAAATGAAAGAAATTCAGGCTGGTGGTGGCCCTTTGAAATATCGTAGTTGAGGCAAGAGTGTGAAATCATAATTATTTGTGTTTTCACAGCACTGTGGGTCTAAGAAATATGATATGCAGTAAAGGAGGACTAGAGCCACCTGAAAAGGGAATGCAGCTGCAACATAGCGCCAAAAGCAGGATTTGTTCTTTTTAGCCTTGGTTCCATTCTCCTTTGTAACTGTCTCCCTAAAGAAGAAAATTAGAAATTACATAAATAAAACATTTAATACGTCAGATTCAACCTTCCTCATTCAGCGTGCGTAGCCGAATCTTTCAACAGAAAAAGCATCTTTTACGTACACTCAAAAAAATATTTTTAAGCACCTATATACATTAACAAAATACAAAATAATTTTCAAAGACTTTACACCATCCCGATAAAATAACTAGTTTCTGACAAAGAACTCTTTTTTTTATTATATTAGCTATTATAAAACGATCAAGAGATTTTTTGGTTCGATATCGGGAGGGTGGAAAATCAAGCCTGAAATTGAGAATATCTTGCAAAATGCAGCAGAATTGCACACAAGAGTGCAATAGTCTCACCACACTCAGTTTAGTAGACTCACATGCTTACTCGCAAAGTATTTCATCCAACATAAGAAACGATTAGTGCTTTCATACCCCACCGACTGACTGTATGCCAAAATGGATTGTGGTGAAAACATAGAATAGAACAATGTGAAAAGCAAGCTTTTGCATAATACCATGGCAAAAATAAACATGGTAAACTTTTATAAAATAACTTAGAAAAAGTCCTGAAGTATTTAATTAAATTTTGATAATAAATTATCAAAATATATTTCATTGAATAAAATGAAACAAACAAAAAATTTTTAAAAAATAACATACATAATAACTTAAAGGATTAGTGTTCATACAATATTACAGGCAAACATGAGAAACAAATGAAGCAAAATTGCAACTCAATAGGATACAATAGGGTTCCTTTGGGATCATATTTTCCAGAATGTAGCTAACCCCCCCTTCTTTCTAGGATCAAGCATCCCGATCCATAAGAAAAAGCATGTTTATACAAAGGATCATTCATGATGTCTGACTTTGTAACTTAAAATATCGGTCGAACTTATTAAAATATTAAAGGCTAGTTCCTCGAACCATTAAGATCAAGTCTTACTACTTGTTATATGGTTTCTAGATCAAAAGTTATGCATAAACTGATCAGGTTNCTAAATCCATGGCTTTCCATGATTTTCTTTAAAAAACAGTAAAAATCATGACATTTCATGACAAATTTTGTTCAATAGTAAAATTCATGACTTTCCAGGTGCGCGGATACCCTGTACAGTTGCAGTTGCGGAACTTTTTTTCTTATAATCATTAGAAACTTTTATTTAAAATCATTTTTATAAAAAAAATCATTCAAGAAGGGACAGATTTGAAACATTTCCACAATTATAGCAATAATTAAAAACCATAATTTGATTTTTTTTAATTAGAAATAAATTCCTTTCATACTCCAGTAATTTAAAAATTTTAAAATTTTTTATCAAAATTTAAACTAAAATCCAACAATTTTAGGATAAATCTATTGTAATAATTATTTCCTGTAAGCTTTGATAAACCTCGTTACATTTTCACCTTAATTCCACTGATCAATTTTTCCTTCAACTTTATGAGAAGACTTTCCCCAAAATTTAGAGATGGGGATGGAATAAAAACAAAATTATACTTAATATTTAATTAAAAAAATTTCCATGATAAATATTAGATACAATTTTATACTTACAGCCCAAAATTTTTTAACTCATGGGCGTATCCAAATCTAACAAAAAATAAGCACTATTTAAGCACAAATTAGTCTATAGTAATAATATATTTAAAACATCAAAATTTTATAACAATGTGGAAACGCCCAAAAAAAATAATGAAATGAGCATGACAAAAAGTTATTATAGAAATTTAAGATTCGGGTGTTGATATAACACCTGTATAAAAAAATATTTCAACAAAAAATATGCACCTTTAAAGTAGTTTTTAAGCATTAAAAAAAAAAAAAAAGACTTTACTAAAATAACTAGTTTCTGAGAAAGAACTCTTTCCTTGATTATATTAGCCATCATAAAATTATCAAGAGATTTTTCAGTTCAATATCAGAGGGTGAAAAATGAAGTCTGAAATTGAGAATATCTTGCAAAATGCAGCAGAGTTGCACATGAGAGTGCAATAATTTCACTGAACCCATCTCAGTAGACGTACATTCGGACCCATTGCTGCTATGGAAACAAAAATAGCACATTTCAGGGAAGGTAGCTCCTCTTCACTCGAGGGCAAAAACAATAGACCAGAGAAGAAGATTACCTCTCTCTCGCCGACCCCATGTCCTAAACAGTGACCCTAAACTCCGACTTGAAATAATTATATCTCGTTACCATAGTCACCACCATGGATCCAGACGAATGGCTAGGGGAGTTCTTACTTTAGCAGAAACTATATTTGATATTACAGAATTTTCAGTGATTAGAGGTTGTTTATTTTCAAACAATAGATGAAAAAAAACAATAACATACTTATTGCTATCAGCTGCAGATACTTTTATGTGTTTTACAGCTTCATGCAGAACTTCTTTCTCTGGCCCATCCAAAATGGAACACTGCACAATGGGATCGGGTCGAACATTTTGAATACTAAAGGTGACATCAAGGTGATCAGCTGCCTGAATTTCAGCTGCAGTATTTTCATGAGGTATTTCACACTTAATCTGAAAAACATTGTTTATTTTCTATAAGATGGTCCCGCATTTAATAAAGCAAAAGTCACTTAACTACAAATGAAGATAGATATTAAAACAGAGACATGAAAACAAGCATTTGTAGGCAATAGAAGGGCAATATCACATCAGAGTAAAAAAAAAAAAAAATTCAAAAATTGGAAATTACAGAACTAAAATTAATTATATCCATAGCTGCCAACACGGGTAGGAAAAAAAATCCAGTATATTTTACAAAATATAAATATTTTATACACAGGGAATTTTAGAAATTTTTATAATCACCAAATAGAAAAACTGCAATATTTTCCAATTACGATTTCACATTAAATGATCTTGAAATGTTATGTTACTATGTTTATTCATAATTTTGAATAGTAATGGGCATTAAATTCATGGAAGATAGTAACCGAGTTTTATAAATGAGGCTCGCTTCCTTATGTATTAGTGACTCTTACTTAAATATTCAAGAAAGCAATAAACTACACAAAAATTCTATTCAATAGGGATTTTTTTAGAGAAAACTTACTCAATTTCAGGGAATTTTCTAAAATTTTCAAAAACCAGGAGAACTTTTGTTAAACCAGTAGAAACTGGCAAAATCCAGTAGTCTACTAGAAAATCCAGTACAGTTCGAGATTTTGCAGACTTGTGTATAATATTTACAAAATAAGTTAGTTTTTGACTAACAGGTGCATGTAATGACAAGTCATTCGGGAACAGCCGTGCAGATCAGTGATAGAATTGAAAGTGAAAAAGTTGAACTATCTTATTCTTATAACATGTTTTGTCAGCATAATAGTTCAAGTTTTGATGAAAGAAATTTCTAGGACATATTTAATTTGTTTAAAAATGGTAATGAATCTTTTTTCTAACTTTATCGGTATATCCATTACTATTACTAACATGTATTGATAATAACATATATTATACATATGTAAAAAAATTAATTAGGTAAAACAATGATATCAAACATAACGTTACTACAATGTATTTACGGAAACTAAACTCTGTACTGTTTGTATTTTACTTTTAATTATTGAGTAATGCCAGCAATTTAATAAGTGAATGTGAAGAAGCTAATGCAGATCTGAATTGACTGTTTTAATTTTTGACTATTTTTCATCTGTCACACAAATTTCTATTCTTTACACTAAATTTCTTTAAATTTTGGAATGTTTAGGAAAATTTTAAGCTTTTCCAGAGATTGTGAAGTATTTCCTAATTGGCTATGTACTGCAGCCGTTTAATACATCAAGATTATAACAATTATTTTTTCAATATTGCCAGAATGACTTCAATATTTCCTACTTGTATTGTTTTTATCCTATTACTTTTTTATCACTACGAAATAGCTTTTAATAAATCAAATTTCTTTTCCACTCGACCAGCAACTGGTTTAATTAATTAGGATGGTTCCTGGTAGGATGGATGGTTCTTAACCTTCGAACCCTATCTCAGACTGGGTAATATGGATTGAAATCAAAATAAATATTAGCTCATTCATAAAATTTTTATTGATAGTTCAAATATCACTATTTAATTGAAAATAGTGAGTTAAAATATCATGTCCAACATTACAGTTGTAGCAGTGAGGGTATGCAAGGAAAATGTGTACATACACAAGTTTTTTATTTAAAAAAAAAGTTTGCAGCATTTTTAAATTATTGTCCTTTATTTATCTCTTCAAATTTTTCTGATCTTTTCAAGGTGGCTAAAAAGTTCTGTGAACACTAAAATTCCCAACTCTTTTTTTTTTTATTTATTTAGAATTAAATTAGGTTATAAATTTAGAAAAAATGAAAAAAATTGGTTGGTTATAATTTAGAAAATTTGAAACCAAACACAGTTCATAACCAAAATTTATTATCATTTTTTTTTTACATTTAAAAAAAATGTGCATAAAAAAACAACATTTAACATTTTCCCACTTAAAAATTTGCTTCTACAACACTGGTCATTAACCTCTAATCGAATCCGAAAAATATTTTCATTTTTTTGTTCTTCTGAATCTTAATGAGAAAAAGGCCCAGAAAAGTTTTTCAGTAACGATTATTAATAAGTTTAAATTCCTCTATTTTTAAATTTGCCTCAAAAAGTTAGTAGGTTAAAAGGAAATAATTAAAGCTAAGACATGATAAAGTGATAGGAATTTAGTTTATTTTAAAAAGCTCAAAGCCATATTAATATGATATATTTACTTCAGCTTTTGGTAGATTATTACCAACTTGCACTGGTTTCCACTGTATTGTTGTCTCAAAATCTTCCTCTAATTTTTTTTCAGTAGATTCACACCATTGTGATTGTAGAGTTTGAAGTTTAGTCAACTGTGTACAATGCCTATTAAGGAAATAAAAAACACATAATAAGAAATTGTTTACATTATAGCAAATAATGTAATTTGAACTTAGAAAAACTTATCAGAGTGTAATAATTTTAACAAGCATCAAGACTATAGTTTGTCTACAATAAGAACCCCCACCCCCGACACAAAATCTGAGGCTGTCTGCTTTTATGGAAACAAGAATAGCACATTTCAGAGAGGGTAGTTTGTCTTCACTCTAGGGCTAACACAATAGACGAAAGAAATATATTCCCTTTCTCTTGCCGAAACCTGTCCTAACAATGACCCTTGAAATAGTTATACCTCGTTATAGTCACCATCATAGGTCCAAACGGTTGGCTAGAGGAGATCTTAATTTAGACAAACTATAATGATAATAGAGAGAGAAATAAATTTAAAAATGTAGTAGCAAAGACTTCTGCTCTGATATGCAACATCATAAAAAAATTTTAAAAATAGACTTATAGAGTAAGCAATATTTGTTGTCAAATGGCGTACTTAGCAAGTTAGCATGTTTTAAAAGGTAAAAATGTCTATCACTGCTTTGCATCATAAAATAACTGCACTATTAAAAGAGTACTTAAAATTAATTGAAACTTTATTAATGGAATAAAAAAAAATCAACCTTAAATTTGAATTGCAAAATATTTCAATTATTTTCAGCTATTTAAATACATCAATGTTAAAAATAAAATCCTAACACCCGTCAAAGTTTAAAACGATCGAAATCTTCAGAAATTATGAAGAGCTACGTGTGTGTGAACAAAATAATTTTGCACATTTCAAACAATATTCTAGAAATTAAAACAAGGGTGTGTAGCCAAATTTAAGTACTTTTTAAGCACTCAAAAAATATTTTTAAGCACTCTAAAAAATACCACAATTAGGATATGCTAACTAATAAATTTTTCCCCCTTCATATTCTTGAAAGTTCTTTGTACATATGTTAACAAAATACAAAATAATTTTTAAAGTTACATGATTATAATAAAATAACCAGTTTCTGACAGAATTCTTCTCTTAGTTATATCAGACACCATAAAAACAATTTATGCACAATTTTAAATATAAACATTGAGTGGATCATTCTATTTTTTAAATTAATAATTATTTTACACAATCATGTAAAGAAAATTTTATTCAAAATCATAATTAATTGAACTAAATTGAATTTAAAGGATATGTAAACAAATAAGCAAGAAAACTTTAATAAATTCATATCACAAATGTAAATTAGTGAATTTCCTCAAATAAATTTTTATTAAAATTTGTTACTTGGTTCAGTATTTCTTTAATGAAATGCTTAAAAAAATTAAATAATTTTGATATGTAAATACAAATAATATTGAAGCTGAATATTTTTGTTGGAAGTAAATTATTATACGGTCCCTACATTCATAATATTTAACAAATCTGAGATAATTNTGAAGTCTTTTGGAATGACAATTCTGAATAAAATAATATTTTTTGCTCATTTATAATAACGAAAGTCCCTAACTTCAATACTTTTTTAAAATCTTGCCCATAAATATTCTGTAGTTTCTTCATAAAATAACTTAAAAGTACTGAAAATTTTAAAAGTAATAATAGAATGATAAAAAATAATAAGTAAAAAAAAAAGGTAATAAATGAAAAAGTAATAAAGCACAATTTTATGCAATTGGTGGACTGTCCCTTAAAAAAAGAATCTTACGAATTGTAATTGAATCATTTTGATACGTAAAAAAATTAAATAATTTTGATGTGTAAATACAATGAATATTGAAGCTGAATATTTTTGTTGGAAGTAAATTATTATACGGTCCCTACATTCAAAATATTAAATAATATGATAAATGATTTTTTTATTACAATTGTTTTTAAATTTAATCATCAAAAGATGAATTAAAGTTTTTTGGAATGACAAATCTGAATAAAATAATATTTGTTGCTCATTTATACATAATAGCAAAAGCCCCTCACTTTATATTTTTTTAAAATCTTGCCTATAAATATTTTGTAGTTTCTTTATAAAACAACTTAAAAGTACCGAAAATTTTAAAAATAATAATACAATGAAAAAAAATAATAAGTAAAAAAAAAGTAATAAATGAAAAAGTAAAGCACAATTTTATGCAATTGGTGGACTATCCCTCAAGTAAAGAATCTTACGAATTGAAATCGCAATTAATTCTTATTATTATTAAATAAAATGAATAAAAGGGAGTTAGAAATTTTGAGATGAAACTTTGTGATTCTTGGTAAAGTAAATTACTATTTATTTGGATTTCTCACACTTATTTTTTATTTATTTTTGTTCTTAATTTTTTTTAAAAGTTGAACATGGATAACTTGCTAACTAAAACCTTTTAAACTAAAGAAAAAATTCCGAAATATTAAAAATCGTTTGAATAATATTTCAGTAAACAAATGGTGTATGAAAACTCAAGATAACTGCAAGCAAACAAAAACTTGCAACTACTTTTATGACAGGCAGTGATTTACAATAATGCATATAGATTCATTTTTAATCTGTATAATTATGACGATAAAAAAAAATTGCTCTTTAAGCCTTAATAAACATAACAAATGTAAAGCTGGAACAAAAAAAAAGCAAATAAATAAAAATAAGGCTCCTACATTATTAATCCGTTATAAAACTTCAAAATAATATCAATAAAAAATAACATTGTGTATTTATTTCTTTTTCCTCCAACGTTATATTGATAATGTTTACTAAATCTAAGGCAAGACGACGTATAATTCTAAATCTAACATTTATATTATTCTAAAGAAAAATTCAAATATAACAAACGTCCAAATATGCGAAAAGACTTGGTACGTGGTTACTAATTTTACAAGCTTGAGCTTCATTTGTCTCTTTCAGTTTATTACGTAAACACTATCGCTGTGAGCGATTTACGGAAAAGCACCATTCTCCACAACTGTAAAAAAAGGAGGGGTTAGAAACGATAAGTAAAGGAACATAACAATCTTGGCTTAAGGGAATATTGACAATGGTATTGACTTAAAACCAACTCTCCCAAGTTAAAATAGAAAACTTTTCAATGGCTTTAATTTACTTCTACAGAGAAAAGAAAACGAAGGGGAGGGGGGCTTTAGAAAGCTAGTTAAGCCAAGTTCAATGAAATTAAACAGACAAAAAAAAAAAAAAAAAAAAAAAAAAAAAAAAAAAAAAAAAAAAAAAAAAAAAAAAAAAAAAAAAAAAAAAAANAAACAGGGGGAAATACACCTCAATAAGTTAAGTATATATTGAATTAGAGAAATATATTTTAACCGTCAAAAATTCTTATGTTTCGAAAATAATAAACGTGTCGTCGCTAGAGTGTAGAAATCAATATGATCTAGCTTAGATTCAGAATAACTACGGTTATCCGTTTAAGTGCCCAAAATGAGTTATATTTCTTAAATTATCTAGATAATCTGAAAACTACCAAAACATTTGCACATTACCTACTAAATCTTGTTGAAACTGTAAGGCTGGGCTACTGACAATGTCAACCTTCATCTATCAAATGGTACCTCCAGAGAGAATCGAATTTATGTCTTATATATTAGTAAATTGGAATTGAATAATTGTCGTGGTAGCTACGCTACAGAAGAACAAAATGTTCCGATACGCTCAAAATAACAAAATCAAGTTCTACAATCAACATATTAATTTATAGCATCAATCACCTTGAAAACTAGAATACAAAGAATCAAATGGTTTAATTTTAACAAAATTACATGATGTCATTGACTAATTTTTCTATGTCTAAAGAATTAAGTCAATAAATACAATTAACAAATTTCCGGATAGAAACATTTGAACTTCAACGATACGAAGACCATTAACACGCACATTTCCAAGGTAAATTCCGCACTTTAACGGATTTAACTCTTTAATTCACATAATAGATAGGTAATGTGCCGATAAAGTGATTGCGAGCATTTCATACGCTTCTAGAATAAGAAGATAAAATTAAATTGCTAACTTGTTTTAATAGTTTTTTCTTCTTCTTCATATAGCGAGTTTATGAAAAAGCGAATACTTGAAATTTTTTTACAACGAATTTTTTTACAATGCTGCCAAGTGTAACAAAAATACTAATTACAAAAAATATTAATTACAATTTATACAGAATGTAAGGTACTGAATTTGAATATAGCAATAAAGATAACGAAGGAAATAAAAATAAAAATATGATCACCGAAGCCGGCGTCTTCAGGGGATACCGGCCTCGGAAGCCATAAAACAAAACCTTTTCTATTGAGAGAGAGGCAAAATTAAATGCCAAAAGTAACTCTCTCAGTACACCGAAGGTTTTGTAAAAGTCCAGGAAAAAATACATGATATACATAAAACTAATTCAGAAAAGAAATTCTAACAAAAACTTGCTATATTTATTCTTTCTTTTGAAAATTCTGCTGCTTTTAAGCGCGTTTTTTTTTTTTTTTTCAAAGATAGTTTTGTCAATATAGAATTAAATGTTTTTTATTCTTTTACTATTGTACTGAATTTGAATATGTTTTTCATTTGATGCCACTGGAACAAAGGGTCTCAAACTGTGCTACGCGCACAGAACAATTTGGGTCCTAAAAACATTTCCCAGCCTCTCGTGAATAAGGTATTTATAAATTTATTATTATAACATTATTATAAATTTATTATTATATTATAAATTTATTATTACATATTATATATTTATAAATTTATTATTACATATTTATAAATTAATAATACAAAGAAAACATGGAAAATAATATAATAAAGATTAATATGAAGAGAGGAATAAAAATTACTAAAATAAAACATTTTTAAAAAAATATAAAAAAAACAAGAAAACAAAATAATGAAAAGATATTATCTAGTCGTCAGCTCACACGATTTTATTCATTACTAATTATAAATACTTTTTAATATTTTGTTTTCCTGGTTTTTAATAATTTTTTTTAAATAATTTTTTTTTCAAATATTTTATTTTAATAATTTTTTTCTTCTTTATTTATTAAT